TGGTACTGGAATCTTTGCTTTTTCTTTTTAGCAGTTTTGGTTATGATAGCTAGTCGGTTAATTCGTTCAGCAAACAGAAACTGTTAAATTAAAAACAACTCTTTGTTACGCTAGTTTTTAGTTTCCGAAAGTTCACAGTTGATTTCGCTTTACCAGTAAAAACCACAGTAAATAGCAACGCGCATCAGACTAGCCGATGCGATCATGCTTTGTGCAATTCCACCCACCGAACGATTGCCTATTAGTGATTTTCGCTGATCTCAGTTAAAAATTCCACGCACTGGCGCATGAAAGCTGAATTTGAAACCCTGAAGGGTGAATATTCTTCCATTATTCCCAAAATAATAGTTTGCCCGCCAAGATTTTCACGAGACCGTGAGTGATACCCGAGAGCGCGGAAACGCTGAATTTGAATATGCAGGGTCGTACGTGGGCAAGTGGTCATTACCCAAAAATTTCAGCTTCGTAGACTTTGTGGTCCCCGAGATAATAATTTGCCCGCAAAAATTTTCATTGGCCCGTAGGCGATACCCGAGAGCGCGGGAACGCTGAATTTGAATTTGCAAGATCGTTCGTGGATATAGGGTCACAACCGTAAAATTTCGATTTCCTAGACTCCGTGGTTCTCAAGTTAATAATTTACCCGCCAAAAATTCTCACGAGGCCGTATATGTCACCCGCGAGCAGGGGAAAACTGAATTTAAATGTTCTGGGTAGCACGTAGGTGGGGAACATTCCCACGAAATTTCAGCCTTTTAGCTTCCGTGGTCCCCGTGATAATAATTTTACCCGTAATAATAATTTTACCCGCACAAATTTTTACGGGGCCGTACGTGTCACCCATGGATACGTGGAGGCTGAATTTAAATTTGCAAGTCGCACGTGAGTGTGGAACGTTCCCCCAAATTTTCAGCTTCCTAGCTTTTGTGGTCCCCGAATTGAAAGTTGCGGACAAGTGCTGCGGACACACACACACAGACAGCCCGTGACAGTGTGTGTTTTGTACTGCTGTTACACAGCACAAAACGCATAAAAAGGAACTTTTTAAACTGCAGGTGTCTGATTTCGGAATTTTCAGCCCATTACATTCTCGGCAGTCTCGCTGACATAATCGCTTCAGCGTGGGGCCTGGCGCAGGCTGTTGGACAACTAATGCTCGCCCTTCCATCCTATTTCATATCGAAAACTTACGAGTATCGACCATTTGCGCATCGCGCTGAGGTTCCTTAGATATATTTTTAAGGATATTTTTGTCTTTATGTTCTGGACTGCTAATGAATGAGCATTCGACTGAGGAGCAGTGGGCAGGGTCCTGCGAAATAAAGAAATAGTATTCTGCGAGCAAAGGACGTATAACTCTTAGTCTGATTAAAATAGGACGGATATACAAAAGAAAGGCTAATATTCATGGGAAAAATACGAGGATTTAGTAGAAAAAATTGTCTAGTCCATTAGTCTTGTCTATTTTTTTAATGACTTGGATGTATGTTTTCCGGGAACAGTTGACTCCGGCACTTCGATCATCTGTATCTCGTAGCGCCCTTCTTCAGTTATGCAGCTAACAATTTTTCTAGTTATTTTGCCCAGAGCTCCATCCTGGCATTAGTTTCACTTCCCCGAGGGGATTATTACCTCAATGATCTCCCGGCAAAAGCGTTTTTGTGAGATTTCAACACTTTTGAGGCATCACTGGTATGTCTTGGGCATCACCCGCCTTGTTTCGACTTTAGCAGTCCTTTAGACCATGTTGAAGTGTTTTGCTGACTAGGAGCCCAGATCAATTACCAATGCCCAGTGGGACTTCACTTCTGCAGGAAGATGCTTTAAAATAGTTTTCTCCAGAGTGACGTGAAATGGGATATCGGCGGTGGTGGGCAGCACAGTCCGGAACAAGCTGAACTCAGTCTCGACCGACTGAGACGTGAAAAGGTATTTTTTTCTGCTTGTGGGAGAAAACAGAGTTCAATCACTGGTGAACCAAGAATCGCTGTGATTAGGAATCATAGGTTTTTTACCTCAGAAGTTGACATTTTTGCATTTTTGGACATTTTGACGCTAATTTTCTTCAGTACCTCAGTTGCCTTCCCCGGCATTTGTTACAGTTGTGTAGCTTCAGCTGATCTGAGGGTTTTTTTTTTAGCAAATTTTCACACTTTTTTGGTTAATTTTTCGCCTTTTTCCTGGATTTTGCTTCTTTCTATTATTTCTTTTTTTTCATTTTCTGTTTCTTAAATGAACTTTGACACTTTCCTAAGATAAAAAGTTGCCTCTTCCTCTTTTCATTGTGCTATTGAAAGTTCATACAGATGCATGGTATTCTATTTTTACACTATAAAAAATAAATCTTTTGGAAGGTAGCGCATTTTTCTTTCTCCTTAGAGCAGAAGACTGTAGTTAAAAAGAATATGAATTTGAAAGTTCTGCTGTAGGAATTGCTGGAAACGAAGATGTCGCAGTTGCGCCGTGAACGTGAGCTGGAGGAGAATCGGTACAAAGATATTCATGAAGCTATCAGACTTGTCGGAGAAACAGCTTCGCAAGTACCATCTGTCACCGATGAACGGTAAGGAGATTTTGACAGTTGTTAAAAAAACAGACGTATCTTGACCGAAGAACAGGAATGAATGTGGTCATATTTCTCATCCTGGAAATATTCGAAATTTGCGAATTTTTTATTCTTATTTTTTAATAGGCGCGTGCAGCAATTCTTATGGTGAACGTAGATTCTAGGGTCTTGCAGAGAAAAATCTAGCTTTTACTCAGAATTGCGGTATCCAGATAACAGAAGATAATAATATTGATGATAATAATAGCAGTAAAAATAATAATAAATGGCAACGCGCACGAGACTAGCCGGTGCGATCATGCATTTTGTGCAATTCAGCCCATCGAACGATTGCCTATTAATGATTTTCACTACTTTGTACTTTATGCAAAAATAGTTCAAACATTGGAAAACAGTCGAAAATTTCACGGATCAGCGTATGAAAGCTGAATTCGAAACCTTGAAGGATGAATATCTTTCCGTGATTCCCGAGTTATTTACCTGCCAAAATTTTCGCGAGGCCGTAGGTGGTACCCGAGAGCGCGAGAACACTGAATTTGGATGGGCAACGTTGGGCGTGGTCAAGGGGTCATTTCCCTAAAATTTCAGCCTCCTAGACACGGTTCCCGAGATATCAACTTGCCTTGGAGAACTTTCATGGGGCCGTACGTGTTACCCGCGGGTAAAGGAAGGCTAAATTTGAATGGGCAAGGTTGAGCGTGGACAGGGGGTCATTACCCTAAAATTTCAGCCTCCTAGACT